TCCTGGTGTTAGGGCATCCCACTGCTGGACACCCCATGCGTATCTCGACATACCGCTCACCGTCGGCCATTATGTACGTGAGGAAGAACTGAAGCGGACACGATCAGTTGCTTACTGAGTGCTTGATAACTGACTGACTACTGCAGACTGATCTTCAGAGACTTCTCAATGCACGGCGTTCAGCACAGCCTGAGCTACTGAAGTACATGTATACAGCAGACAGGGTATTCTACCATGTACTGATGATGTAGGAGAGGTTTGGTATTGAAACATGATCACATCTACTGTACGTGCATCTCGTAAACCACCATGATCACGAGTACAGAAGCCAAGGCAGGTCAGACTTACAGCAGACAGCTGAAGACATTGCATTTCCGTGTAGACCTGTTATAATTATTATCACTTGTGAAGGTTTCAGCAGGCAGAATAGTACTCACACGTACATTGTCTGTTGCTGTCAGAACTTGCCTGGCTGTCTTCCAGAACCTGCCTGGCAGCTGTCTGCCTGGCGGCTGTCTGCCTGTCATTGTCACCAAGTAATAATTATTATTATTTTTCTCTATTAAAACCAGCTACTACTTGGCACATACCAATACTTGGGCAATAGCAACAGTGCAAACTAGCTCTGAGTCCGTGAACTTCAATCACCAGTCTAATACTGCGTTGCGTGTATGCATGCAGAATGAATGAAAGTTGGTTGGTGGTGGTGCCCTTGGTGGTGTGGAATTCTAACTTATTACTGCCACAACTGAAATAGGTGATGGCGTAAAAGGATAATCTTTTAAGCATGAAAAGTAATGCCATCAGAGAGGAGGAGAGAAAGAACTGAGGAAATCATAGAGATTTTGTTATGTACTCTTGAGCTGGAAGAAAACGAAGAAGAAATCAAAATGAAATCGCCTGCTGATAGCGCTATCCTACACGTGTACAGCAAACGTGTCTTCTGCCCCCCCCCCCTACAACTCTAATCACATAATGTCATAAATGTTATGACTGTACATGGAGTCCAGGACTGTACATGGAGTCCAGGACTGTACATGGAGTCCAGGACTGTACATGGACTGTACATGGACTGTACATGGACTGTACATGGACTGTACATGGACTGTACATGGACTGTACATGGACTGTACATGGACTGTACATGGACACAACGTATCTGAAGTGACTGTGTACATGTATGTGTTTTGGGATATGTTAGGCTCGTCACTGTGAATGAGGAAACGCTTCAGGTTGGGCAGAGTAGTTCGGCCTCCAGCGTCTACTTGAACCTTTCCGCCCATCAGTCCCAGCAAATCCTACTCTCTTCACATTACCGAGTGTTTTTACTTTGGAATGAAACAATATTACTATGAGAGGGTATGAATGTACAAATTGTACTTTCAGAAAAACCATGAATCAATATTGTTTTCTACATGTATGTGCTAACAACAACGTGAATACAGTGTGTGGACAGAGGACAATGTGAATACAGTGTGTGGACAGAGGACAATGTGAATACAGTGTGTGGACAGAGGACAATGTGAATACAGTGTGTGGACAGAGGACAATGTGAATACAGTGTGTGGACAGAGGACAATGTGAATACAGTGTGTGGACAGAGGACAATGTGAATACAGTGTGTGGACAGAGGACAATGTGAATACAGTTTGCGGACAGAGTCCAATGTGATTACAGTGTGTGGACAGAGGACAATGTGAATACAGTGTGTGGACAGAGGACAATGTAAATACAGTGTGCGGACAGAGGACAATGTGGCTCGCTCCAATATGTCCTGTGTGGAGGTGCGTAATGTGAGAATGGATACGTTTATGAACAAATAGATGACGTGGTTATGCCTAAAAAATGTCAATTATTACATACACGTGTACAGTGATAATGGACTAAGCCAAAAATAGAAGAGAAAAAGCACCAGCAAAAAGACATGAAGTTCTGCTTTTATGTGCTCTCTTTTTCCTTTTCTTTTCACCTTCTTTTTCCTTTCTTGCTGGCCGTGGTTGGCTATAAAACCCTGAAATGGCCACGCAAAGTGGTCATTGGCTTCCCCAGCCATGTATTGCTTGGAATAAAACAAAACTAAAACTAAAACCCTTGTTGAAATGATGCCGCGGGTCTATGTTGATGCCATGATGATGTAATGGTGATGTCATGATGATGTAGCGGTGATGTCATGGTGATGTTATAGCAATGAGTGCCAATGACTGTAAATCAGCGAAAACTGGCCTGGTTCCTGAACTCAGAGAGGATGGCTTGAAGATTGGGATTATCCTCGTAGTCCTTCTGCATCTCGTCGCTCATTACCAAAGCACCTTGGACGACCTGGAAGACCCGGCCCAATGTTTTAGGCATCCACAATGCTGATTGTGGTGGTGGTGGGGGTGATCTTGTTGACATTAGCTGGGGCTCTTCCTGCTGAATTGCTCGCTCCATATTCGTTGTGAAATGGCGAACACTATCGATTCCCAAATCGCAGGTACTAATCCAATCAGCCACCTTTTTACTCAGCTGTTCCTGCAGTTGAGAACGTGCCTCTGGGTGGCAGGAGCCCATCTGGATCGCCAAGATCAGAAGGTAGTTGTTGCATCGCTGAATCATCTGGGGAAAACAAAGCAATACAAGATAGCACAGCACATAACTTGCAAAGGACCGCCATTACTTGATGTACACGTTCTGACTTAGAAGAAAAATATTTGCCAATACCCTTACAAAGTCGGCGTGGAGACAAGAAACCTAATATCGATGCAAGCAAAGTGAGCGCACTCATACCACGAGAACAATGGAACGATATTTTTTTGTAGTCCAACACTCAGTGTGACGATGATTTCTGATAATAATCACATGAAAACGGCGTTCAAATCTTAAAACATTGTTCTATTGTTCTCGTGGTGTGAGTGCGCTCACTTTCCTTGCATCGATATCAATACCCTTACAAACGCCTTTACAGTGTACACCTTTTTAAAATGATACTATATGCACAGGTCAGCTCTCTCATGCACTGCGGAAGGAAAGAAAATTTCACATTTGAAATTAATGTCGACGCAAACCTGAAGCAACTTACCTCATCAACAGTGATCCTGGTGCCTTCATGATTGTGCTTCATAGTTTCATATAGCTTCTTGCTGGATGATGACATTGAAGGTGGCACCTTTTTCATCTCTTTCATCTCCAGTCTTTCCAGGATTTCAATGTGCCCTACGGTAAACTTGAACACATCATACACCATTGCTTTGCTGGCTTGGATTGTCCGCGGAAATGTCATCTGTTCCTGCTGCTGCTGCTGATGATTTAAGTGAAAGCTGACAATTTTTCTCAGATCAGCCGTTTGCTGTTCGGAACTTGCTTGTGTTTCTGGGTATGCTTCACTCGAAGCCTGATTAGCATCTTGTGGAAAATCAGGCACATCATCATGATCATGATCATCATCATCAGCAGCAGCAGCAGCAGCAGTAGGGACAGCAGCAATAGTGGAAGGTGGAGAAACTGTGGCAGTAGTGGCTGATGAGATACTCAGCCCCTGAAACTGCTTGTCTACGCTGCTTTGTCTTTCTGCTTCCCCTTGCTTAGTGCTTCTTTCTTCCAAGACATGATTGTCTGTAGACCCTCTGTGATGTGGCTGCTGGTTGATACCTGAAGGTGAACTGAAGCTTGGTTCCTTCGAAGATGGCTGTTGGTGTGTGACGGTAGATGTGGGATTGTGGTAAGGCATGACCGACTGACGAGCTGAATCTCTCCGACTTGTAGCCTTACCGGTGCTCCCTGTACAAGATGAATTTCCCTTTTGTTGCATTTCGGAGTGGTGTGATGTGGGTGCACCAGGCGCTGTGGTATCTGGAGAAAAAAAGGAGCACCGTAATTGTAGTTATCTGCAAGTTGGTCGATCTCCATAATAGATTCTCTGCACAATACATCTTGGAACACCATTACCAGCATGTGCTGCAATTTCAAACACATCACTTTTCACTCACAGATCAACGGTTCATTATATGGGGTAATGGTTTACTAGAGCAATCACACTCACGATGAACTTCAACTACAACAAGGAAAACAAAGACCGCGAAGGCAGGTTTTATGGAGTTGCGCAGAACAAGAGCAGCTACTGGAACATATATTGTGAGTGAAAAATAGGTTTTTTGCACTCTTTCGCTATGCTCAGTCAGGAGTCGCAGAATTTACTGTGACTGACTATGATTGACAGCATGATATTTGTGTTCAGAAGGTGGGAGGAAATCTGTGTTTGAGTTTATGACTCGTATTTTGAGTTTCATGCTAAAGGCTCAGGCAACGGAAAACTCTAACACATGCAACAGCACAGAGACATTTGACTCCTTTATTCAGCACAGCGATCACATGATTACTACGTAACTATACTCTACCGATGGCCACGGATAAGCGCTATGGCAGGGGCATCGGACACAGTATGGTTACTACGGTATTGACTGTACCACTCTTGGACCCAGTCACCCCGTAAATCAATAAAATACACGGATCTGGGATTTGAATTTCCACATTTTTGGCTCAGTAACCACCCTCCCACAAGTAAATTGTACTAGTTCTTCAGATGGCTGACCGTACCACACTAGAATACCTTCCGACGCCCCTGTATGGTGTAAATAAGGATCTGCTTTGCAACTACTGACTGCGAATAACAATTGCCGGAAGTTTGTGTGGAATGCGCTACCATTGCATTCTTCCCTTCTGGCTTCATTTTTCCAGGTCATCATGGATTTTTCGAAAAAAAGGTCTTTGAAATAGCAGTGAAAGGATGAAAACTTTGACCAATGCCCATTTTCTCGCATGTTGTACTCATAATACGACTTGTCCTTCTACTTCTACAGAACGTGCTCACCATATGGGAAATGGTGACTCCAACGCTTCGCGATCTAAGTGCTCAATGGGCAGTCCACGTCGAGAATGTTAGGGATGATTATCGGGGATCCGATCACTCATGTACTCAGAGCGGTAGACGGCCGGAGCTCGCAACTATCTGTTGCCTGTGCTGCTGAATTCGTCTCAATCACGGAAAGAAACGTTTACTTCAGTACCTACGAGCAGACACAGGAGGAATGCTGCAGCTCTCACGAGGAATGCTCTTCTCCTTTATCCACTAAATGGACAAACAAAAATACATACTGCATTCAGTTTTCTCGTGACGCTGGAGCAGTGCATCTCGGTTATGGCCAGACAGAAACTGGGACGATGGTAATGTGTGTGAATGTCGCTTCGGTGCAGCGGAGAACGTGTATCCGTGCTTCCACAGTGCGGCTAGAGTAGAGAGCGATTTGGGTCTCTTTGGCGTGACCAGCAGCAGTACTAGCACTGGCAGCAGTAGATCTACGCACACGCTATCTCACTGTGCCCAACAGAAGCTATCTCCATAATACCCAGTACAGGCGCGCAGCAAACTTTCGATATACACGACACGTAGACCCCCGCCGCGATCCCAGGACCAGGTAGGATATTGATTAATCATTGTACTACTACTAGTGAAAGCTTTCCGGGATGCGGTGGTCTCACACGTTTGACCATAGTCTAGACATTTGAACAAGTTTTGAATACAATAATTATGGTTCAACCGCTTTTCCGCATGCAGTACTCCTGAACGAACACATGGATAGCAGGTGTTGGGGACAGAAGCACAAGTATTATACTTCAACAGGTAGCGTAATAATTGTTATCGTACTTTGACACTGTTTCATTACCTGTCGCATGTTGCGGTCAAGGCATTTTTCAACCGGAAAACCGCAAAACGTGTTTGCAGACACGCAGCTAGAAATATCAACACCGTGTGCACGTTTGCAACAAACCCAGCCTTAGCCTAGCCCAAGACCAGGCCATTCAAGCCCGCCTTGCTTCTCCTGGTCGCTCACTGGCAGGCGGTCTCTGCTAGCTAGCGCTGCATGACATGCACAGACCCAGTCGAGATGATGACTGCGACTGTGAATGTCAAATCGGAGCTATCAATTTTTGTTTTTGGAGCCTGGTCGCTGCAGGCCATGGCTGTTGTAACCATGGTTATGTGGTTCACGAGGCGAAGAGATCTACAATCATGATAGTACAAGTACAAGTATGCGGAATTCCTTTACGCCTAGCATGAAGTACGGTCACACTACCTAGTGCAATGGAATGTTTTCCTACTTTCTCTCTCACGCCACCAGTAGGCATTAGGCATATGCCGGCAGAAAAATTGGCAGAATTCGGTACCTTTTCTGGTAAGTTTCATGCATGTTTGGTATGTGGATAAAGAAATGGAGCAGAATTCGAGGAATTGCCTGCCATAAGGCTTGTATGGTTCTGCCAATTTCACTGCTTTTTGAGCAGAATCTGCCACCTTTTCGAGCATTACCCGCACACCTCTAGTAGGCATGGGCGGGTAATGCTAGCATTATGGCTAGCATTAATTTTTTATAGTCCATTTTTCCAGGTGGTATAATGCTGGCATTATCACACCATTTCGCATGTAAAATTGGCATTACAAGCATAATTGCCGGTCGACAACGGTGGCATGCATGAAGCTGGCTAGGTCCAGTTCCGAAAATCGTGCATCTGAACCCGTCCGGCTTCGTCCGGAGAGTCGGAAACTTGACGTTGCAAATCAACCTTCTCGGTGGATTGTTTCAGACAACACGCTCACTGCTGTTTAAGTTTTTTTCTTCTACGCTTTGGCCTTGATCCAAGACGGCCCTCTTAAATCGACTTTTCCAACTTTCAAACTGACATTAAATGGAGTAATGTGAGCATTATAAGTGGCTATATATCCCCATATTATGAGCATTTCCTTCAGCATTATCGCAGCAAATAACTAGCATTACCCACCCATGCCTACTGTTTCGTACATCCCGCCTGGCCCGGTCCATTGAACTTGACTCGGCCGCTAACTTGCTGTCACGTCCCTCCTTTCGCTGTTGTCCACTGAATGCGTAGCTTCTGACTGTTATTGTATTTGTCTGTTGATCGTCTTGGTCTTTCAATAGTTGAAAAAAAAATTGAAAATCTGCTCAAAAAACTCTCGATAAGAACTCTGCGCACTCTCAAATGGAGCGCACAGTAAAAAACTCGTCGACGAAGAACGCTTCGTATCGACGCTCTGGACTGAATTCGGCACGTCCAACAAACGGAATAGTGTTCTCTGATATATTCTCTACGTGCTGGGTACGGTCGCGTTTAGTTGGAAGCTCAGTGCATCACCACTTTCGATTTTGAGACTTGGCCGATGGACTATAAGACTCTGTGTTCAATCAGAGCTGTGCTTCGAAGTAGTCACAAATGCCCCATGATCAGTCACAAAACTAAACTTGGCAACCAGTCACAGCTTCCACGGTGCCCCAAGACCAGTCACCAGAAATGACCGTAGTAAATCTGCAGGGAGTTTCATAATCTGTTCATTGCAGAGTCCACTATGCTATGATTCAAGAGGGGGGTAGCGTTCCTGCGGATGCGGAAAACTTGGCTGGAACCCGAGTGTCACGTAAACCCTGATTTTTAAGACTTTTATTATTTGTTTTACGATGAGCCTATTATACGCGATACAGGCTCAGAACACACTTTTCGTCTAGTTGGCATATCAGGGATATAGGGCGGAGCAGCCCATATCCCCAATTATGACACGCGAGTAATAGTGAAATACGATTGGTGTATTGTGCTGGACTGACTGCGGTAATGTAAAGCTAAAATAAAGCAGTCAGTTTGCCCTTAGCATGGCCTTGTCATGAGGGTGCCACATCCGTGGAAAGGCAACATGCCGGCTAATCTCCCTGAGAAGTTGAGTGGTTATCAGCAGGCTAGGACGCTGTGTCGATGATGACCTGTTGATGCCCGACAGGAACCTTGCAAGGAGAGTCATTGGGCCTGACGGGTAGGTAAAGCCAACTTCCACATGAAGTTTGCGGATGGCCGACATGTAGACATGGACAGATCGGGGCTGAAAAGTTCTGAACAACTCGGCAGCAAAATAACACATAAAGTAAAAAGTCATCACCTGGCAATGGATTCCAGTTATGCCCTTGACAGAACTGGAAGTAACGGGTATCGGCGGAAAAATATTTCCGGCTGGTGCCAGTGCTGCTAGCTGCAGCACGGAGTCCGGCAACTGAGAGTTGGCAAGACTGGCTGATCTGGCTCAGCTGCTGCTTCCGGAGCCCTCGATGGTTCAAACACCATCGGCGCAGGCCACGTTTTTCGGCACCGACGATTTGTTCGTCCACCAAAAGTCGAAACAAATGTTTCTCACTTGAACACTCCGTAGAGCTGCCGCTGTTGTGCCAAGGCCCATTGGCGCACGGTGTGTATACTCCAAATCTACATGTATGACGATGGGTCACTGCTGACGTTTCTGCTCTTGGACAGTGCAACGCCGCATGAAGATATGTTGTGGCTCCACAATCGCTGAGAACGCTAGTGTGCGTCCATGGAATACTAAAACACAATAGGCGCGACGCAGCTAACGCCCACTTGGATGAATCGGAGTGGTGGCGAGTGCATTCTCCTTCCTCGGTGAACACTGCTGGTCACCCTGTTTGATGATCCACCAAACACCATCGGTGCAGGCCGCGTTTTTTCGGAACCAGCCATTTATTCGTCCGCCAACAATAGATGTTTCTCACTTGAACACTCTGTAGAGCTGTCGCTGTCGTGACAAGGCCGTGTATACTCCAAGTCTACATGTAGGATGAAGAGTAACAGTTACTGCTGATAATGAAGTTTGCGCTCGTGGACAATACAACGCTGTGTGAAGTAAATTGTGGCTCCACAATCGCTCTGAATGCTAATGTGTGTCCATGGAATACTAAAACACAATAGGCGCGGTGCAGCTAACGCCCAACGTGGATGAAACGGGCAACAGCAGCGACTAGAGCGTTCTCCTTCCTCGGTGAACACTGCTGTACAAGACATTTTGCTTGATGATTCACCAAACACCATCGTTGGGGGCCAAGTTTTCCGGCGCCAGCGAGTTGTTCGTCCACCAACTAACTTTGATGAGTCTTTCTTCAACACTTCGTAGAGCAGCCGCGCAAGGCCTTTCCTTCGCGTTAGGGTAGCGATCCTTCCTAGATGATATCGCTATTCATTGTTACTTTTTACTACAATGAGTAGTGTTTCTCCGAAAATAAAGTCAGCTGCCTGGGCATTAGGCATTCGCCATTACTACGGCATTAGTACTGCCTAGGCCTAGCGCCTAGCGCCTGGACTTGGAAAAAATTGATTTTGCAAGTCTTCAATCATGTTTATACGCGCTATCCAGCCATGTGGCGTGAACAGATTGCCTGACGTGAAAGGTAGCGCAGGCCGGGCGCGCGCTCGCGGACGTGTCTGACACGTGAAACGAAAAGATTTTTTTGGCGGGTAGTCGGCAAAAATTAAGTGACGGTCCCTTTAGTCCTTCGCGTATTGTACCGTGGTCGTCATGGTTATGGGCTACAGTCAAAAGTTTTGGAAGCCATAGGGCTTGAAAGTGCTACGTCACAGCATAGCAACAATTTCAAAAATTCAAAAACTGGGTCCACTTGGATCCAGTTTTTGTATGGATCCAAGCACATTTCAAGCCGTCTTACTCACAGCAAGGTGATGTAGCCAGTGAAACTGACTGATTTGGCTACTGGGGGCGGGGTTACAACTGGTGGCGAAGTAAAAGTCACCCATGCATACAACATGAGTGGGTTGCTATGCACCCACATACTGAGGCAATAGCAAAGTCACACCTTAGTGGATCCAAAAGTAGAAATCTGATGTCAACTTACTACTCCCTGGCCGTTTTTGACGTCATCATTTTCAAGCCCTATTTGATCAGCGTTCGTACAAGCCTAATTTGTGTTTACAGAAAGATAGTATAATTACTTTGAAATTGTTCAAGTAACGTGTCGTGTTTGGTGTGGCCAAGCTGTTAATGTTCTAGGTGAAATGTACTGCTGTTATCGGTATGTGTTACCACTTTGTCCTTCCTTCTTTCTTTAAATTCTCTTGTTTGTTCATTTTCATTTGCAAGTTTATTGTTAGCACACGCTCGTTTTCATTGTTAAAATTCACACTTGTACATTTCACTCCTGTTGTTCTTGGTGTTATTTCTCTAACTTCGGTTTTCTATAATAGTTCAATAATTTTGTTTCAGTGTCCTTTAGTACAACGACGATTCCTGATGAGTGTTGTACGAAAACTTGTTTGAATCCATAGTTCTTCTCTACACTATTTCTTCCTATTTTCATCGTTTTATTGCACATTGTCTCCAACGTTTTACATTGCATGAATAAAGTATACAAAAATGTCGATTCAGCTTGTCCTATTGATACTTTCCTTATTTTTTTATACTGAAATGCACAGTCTAGCAGAGAACGGAATGGGAAGACAGAACCAAAGAGGAGACATGACAATACAGCGAGAAGCCGGAGCACCGTGCTGGTGAATTGGGCCTCCCTTCCCCGACCATGTGTCTCGGGATCAGCGGCAGGATGAAGCACCGAATACAAAAAAAAAAGTAGAGCAGAAAAAAAGGAAATGAGCAACTTGTAAGGAAGCAGAATTTAATGAGATGGCGAGTTGCCTGGTGTTACAGGTGTGGCACAGAGTGTGAAAAGGTATGATCAGCGTGATAGCCATACGGGGAAACTTTGGCAATAGACGAACATGTCCTAGAAATAGACTAACAGAGGCTAAATGCAACGCTCTCCACACCGTCGCCGTCATCATCATCATTCCGGTGGCGCTGATTGGGAGAACACAACGTTCGCATCCACCACTTTGACAACTCGAAATCAAATTTTTGACTTCTTGGCTGACGACCTTCATTACATTTTCGAACATTGCATTCATTGTGTTATTTTCCCGTATAAGAGGTATGACCTATGGTGCGGATCTCGCTAGATGCTTGCAAACATTTTCATCCTCATGCTAACAACGACGTTTGAAGAATTGTCGCTTGAAGAACCAGCGTCGAAAGGCCAACGGTGTTTGTAAAAAAAAAACAGCATATGAATTATCAAATTCAAACCAAGAACAATTCAACGCAGAACAAAAGTTAGTGAACCCAAGCCAAAAAACACAAAGCTGTGGCACATAGCGTATTACCTACCTAATGGCACTACTTGCCGTTGTGACATGACATGAACTGAGCGACAGTGGCACAGAGCCTTGTCCCTACCTATTTGCTACACAGCACATTGGCCAGTGTTCTTCAAGGAGTTCATGTTTTCCTCGTAGGACGACTGAAAGTAGTATGGAAACTGGTCATTTGAAGTCATAGTGTTGCGTATCCTTCCTGAGGTTTGGCTTTCTGGCCTTCTTGTTAGGGTCCTCTCGGAATGATCTCTCTAGCTGGTCTGTTTTTTGCGCGCCTCTCTGGTATGCTCCGAAGACAGTTGACATTGTCTTTGAGAGTGAAGCAGCGTCGACAGTATCATCAAATACTAACGATTGCGAGTAGGCTGGCACAATCTCTTCGGGCTGCTTGCCGTCCAGAGCGAGAAACAGCTGCTTGATGAGGTCTTTGGACACTTCGCTCTTCAGCTCCAGGCCAGTTTCCTGCCAGTGGGCAAGGCTTTCTTTCAGCTCAGTTTTCACCTGGTCACGGATAGCTGGATTACAGCTGCTGACTTGTATCCACATCAGAAGAAGAAATATGTTGGCATGGTGGACAGTCTGAAATACAAAGTGAGAAAAGGGAAAAGGAGAAAGAAGTAAATGTTTTTACTGAGACTTTCATACTAGGAGTAAGACAGCAACTATTGTACAGTTCTACATCCTTACCTACAGTCGGACCCAAATTTAGCCTTGGTAAGGATCAGTGATCTGGGATGGGCCCCGCTAGTATGGAGAGTACGGCATTGTCTGTAGTCATTTCTCGAAAGTTCTCACTGACTCGCATGGAATGGCTAGCGTGCAAGTTACTCCTGGTAGTTGTACAAGAAAATGGCTCAGATGGCTACTACGAGAACATGACTCATGCTCGCACACTACCGTATATAGCTGGGGCCATCTATGAAAAACTATTGCTGTGGTGGTGGAATGGTGGCTGAAGGGGGACAATTGTTACATGGCCTAATGCTGCCACTTGCTAAGCTTAAAAGAGAGGACGAGGGAAAGAAAACGCGCAGTCAGTTTACCTACACTATGCAGCCATTTTGGATCCAACAAGGGAGGGAATGCAACTGAATTCTGTCTATTGAAGTTGGAAACGTTTAAAGGAAAAAATCACGGTTCGTGCTAGGATCAGTTGGACTACTTGTATGTTTTTCGCGTTTGTAGAAACGCCACAACGCCACCACCTACAAATCAAGGCTTGGGACTTGGAATTGCAGAGATGTAAAAAAGTTTCATAAGTGGCGGCTTACCCCTTTGATGGAAATGCCTTCTCCACCCTTGGTCCAGTTGTCAAGCATGTTGTTTGCTTCCGGTGAGAGTGGAATCTGCTCCCTCTCAAACTGCTCTGGGGACTCTAGCCGCTCCAAGATTTCCAATGTGCCGGTTGTCCACTCGAACACATCAACCACCATTTGCTTGCTGGCTTGATCTGAGCGCAGATTTTTCCGTTGCTCCAGTGCTTGAACGTGCAATTGCTCCTGTCCATTCTCGGCCTGAGATTCTTCCGCTTGTGTGTGAGTATCAGCGCTCCAATTATCCTGTCTGGCTGCATACTCCTCAGTAGGTGTGGATACATGCTTGTCCACATGATCAACGGTATCCTTACTCCTGCTATCAGCTTCTTCCTGGTATTCACCATCCGAGCACCAAGGGACTGAACTGCAGGTTGATTTGTATGAGTTAGAGGAGTCTACGCTGCTTTGGTGACTCAGAGAGCGACCAGTTGGTGTGTGCGGTGACTTATCATCATCATCATCATCATCATCATCATCATCATCACTGTTGTGATGGTTACGGCACTCTGACTCGCCAACGATGCTGGAGTCTGAATCTCCGGCGTCACATCTCAGAGACTGTGTGGAACCGGTGTGTGATAAATCAATCCCTTTCTCCCCACTTGGACTTCTTTCATCAGAGGTTGCTGTCATATCCGTTGAAGTTGTACCTGTATGTTCCACTGCTTGAGAAATACCCTCCTCAGTAGCCGGTGGCATCTCATAATCACCACTTTGTTCTGAAGGCACAATCAGTCTCGCCTGAGCAGGAGACAAATCAGTGCCTACTGCTTTCACTGAACTGTGGGTGCACGTGGTATCCGTCATCACCAGAAGGGAAGCTGCACGAAAACAAACACATTACAAATGTAGAAAACGCATGGTTAAGTCTTTCTGTCATAATGGGTACCACAGGTGAAGACAGCCTAGTCATTTTTTGCTTTGGTTTGCTTGAAGAGCAGTTATTTTGTACTCCCAATAACTAGGTGTTTAGGCTTCATTGTGTAGACTGTTAGCATCACTGGAGAGTGCACGTTGGCGATATACTCTGTGCCTCGTGCATGACACAATGACTCATTAATGTGGCTTGTATGGGACACAGTTGTTCATTATGTGTGACGATTTGCCTTGCATGGTATACGGTGCTGTATTCTGTGCATTGTATAGTATGCAAGTATACACACTATTGTAATTATTATTATAGGATACTGTGCTTTCTGTAGCATACATCACGTTGTATGATGTACTGTTCAATGTATGGTGTACTGTTCAATGTATGGTGTACTGTACATTCTATAGCATACTCACAACTGTGCATTTATAAAATGGTACACTGACCATTCTACATTATACTTAGTGTCTGCTCCAGAGTCGGGTCAGCAACCCGGTTGGGAGGTACTGGGGCCAGCTTGGAAAAAGAACGACGAGTCGACTCAATCAGGCATTCAGGCAGTTCTAAGACTCCCTGAATGATGTACAATAGCCGCTCTTGAACGTGCCCGGGACTGACCCGGTTGCAAGAGTTGTGCCAGGTACAAGACTAGTACACCCCGTAAATTCAGGTACTTTGGACACGCTACATTCACTATGGTATCGACCGTACCACTCCTTGCCCCAAGCACCCCGTGAATCAATAAAATGCACTGATTTGGGCTCTACATTTCGAAAATATTCAGAGGAGCCACACCAACTCTGCAAGTAAATTTTACTTCAGGTGGTGGACTGTACCACACTAAAATACCTTCCGGCGTCCCTGCCCCTGCCCCTGTGGTTGGTTTGAAATCCTAGAGCAGACACGGATAGTGTGGCTGGAACTGGACTTACCTGCAACTGCAGTTTCATCCACCTCTTCTTGCTCTGCGTCCACGTCACCCTTATCAGTATGTCCTGAAACATCGTCGACGGATTCTTGCTCTAGTGCGCCTATGCCCAGACAAGAATCTCGACAGGACTCAGGACCCGATTCATCGCTAAGATGAACATCAACAGCACCAGGCTTGTTTGAAACATTGATACTTGTAATACTGGCCACTGGTGGCGTATCACACCCGTCTTCATCCACTCTTGTGATAGAGGAGGATTCTGTTGCCAGTGGTGCTGCAGAAGCTAGTACTTCTCCTGCTCCTGCTGCTAATGATGGTTCTGTTGCTGCTGCTGCTGAAACTGCTGTTGCTGCTGAAACTACTGGTGCTGCTGCTGCAGTTGTCGCTGCTGGTGCTGCTGCTGCTGTTGTTGTTGCTGCTGCTGCTGCAGTTGTTGTTGCTGCTCCTGCTGGTGCTGCTGTTATTGTTGCTGCGGATACTGCTGCTGGTGCTGCTGCTGCTGCGGTTGTCGTTGCTGCTGCTGCTGCTGCCGCTGCTGCCGCTGTTGTTGTTGTTGTTGTTGTTGTTGTTGTCGTTGCTGCTGCTGCTGTTGTTTTTGCTGCTGATACGGCTGTTGGAGCTGCTGCTATTGCTGTTGTTGTTGTTTTTGCTGCTGCTGCTGTTGTCGTTGCTGCTGATACTGCTGCTGGTTCTAGTTCTGCTGCTTGTGCTGCTGCTGGTGCTGCTTGTGTTGCCAATGGTGCTGCTACTGGTGCTGCTGCTGCCAAAGCTGGTCGCTCTGGATCAATGGATGTGTCTGCAGTCCGTAGCATTGTGCAATCACCGAATGTTGGCGACTCCACATTTAGGCCTGAGGTGCGTAGCCGTGTTGTATCCAGTTCCGGTGCAGATGGCGACGATGGCTCTGGCGATGGTTCTGTGTCTTTTGGCTCATTTGATTGCGTTTGGTCTGCTGAGTTGTCAAAGCATGATACTGCCTGATCCAGTGCACCTTCCTGTAATGGTGTTCCTGACCTGTGCTCTGATTCTGGCACGACTGACGTTGGTGGCTTGGTTGGGTCTGGAACATGGGGCGTTGACTTCTCTACCCGCAGATCTGCTTGACGTGTTCCTGGCAGGTCTTTAGAGATTGTAACTGGTGACTCTACTTCCATGTCTGAGTGTGTTAAGGCTCCTGTAGATGCCCCCGCTGGTGGACCTTCAGGAACATGTACACGCTCTTTATCTCTCGGACTGGGCAAGCTGATTTTCAGATCTGCAGCTCCTGGTTTGGAAGACACATATTGCTCTTGCAAATCTGAACCTATTTCACACGAGGCTTTAGCGCGAAGCAACTCTTCTGGATCTGGATTGGATCGCAATTCCTTCCTCTCTTGCTCCGAAGTTTGTACTTGCTGCTCCCCTAGTTGAGAACTTGGTGATGTTAAGTTCTCTACTGCTGCTGTTGTCATTGCTGCTGATACTGCTGCTGGCTCTGGTTCTGCTGCTGGTGCTGCTGCTGGTGCTGCTTGTGTTGCCAATGGTGTTGCTGCTGGTGCTGCTGCTGCCAAAGCTGGTCGCTCTGGATCAATGGACGTGTCTGCAGTCCGTAGCATTGTACAATCACCGAATGTTGGCGGCTCCACATTTAGGCCTGAGGTGCGTAGCCGTGTTGTATCCAGTTCCGGTGCAGATGGCGACGATGGCTCTGGCGATGGTTCTGTGCCTTTTGGCTCATTTGATTGCGTTTGGTCTGCTGAGTTGTCAAGGCATGATACTGCCTGATCCAGTGCACCTTCCTGTAATGGTGTTCCTGACCTGTGCTCTGATTCTGGCACGACTGACGTTGGTGCTTTGGTTGGGTCTGGAACATGGGGCATTGACTCCTCTACCCGCAGATCTGCTTGACATGGTCGTGGCAGGTCTTTGGAGATTGTAGCTGGTGACTCTACTTCAATGTCTGAGTGTGTTAAACCTCCTGTAGATGCCCCCGCTGGTGGACCTTCAGGAACATGTACACGCTCTTTATCTCTCGGACTGGGCAAGCTGATTTTCAGATCTGCAGCTCCTGGTTTGGAAGACACATATTGCTCTTGCAAATCTGAACCTATTTCACACAAGGCTTGAGCGTGAAGCAACTCTTCTGGATCTGGATTGGATCGTAATTCCTTTCTCTCTTGCTCCGAAGTTTGTACTTGTTGCTCCCCTAGTTGAGAACTTGGTGATGTTAAGTTTTCTACTGCTGCTGTTGTCATTGCTGCTGATACTGCTGCTGGTTCTGGTTTTGCTGCTGGTGCTGCTGCTGGTGCTGCTTGTGTTGCCAATGGTGTTGCTGCTGGTGCTGCTGCTGCCAAAGCTGGTCGCTCTGGATCAATGGATGTGTCTGCAGTCCGTAGCATTGTACAATCACCGAATGTTGGTGACTCCACATTTAGGCCTGAGGTGCGTAGCCGTGTTGTATCCAGTTCCGGTGCAGATGGCGACGATGGCTCTGGCGATGGTTCTGTGTCTTTTGGCTCATTTGATTGCGTTTGGTCTGCTGAGTTGTCAAAGCATGATACTGCCTGATCCAGTGCACCTTCCTGTAATGGTGTTCCTGACCTGTGCTCTGATTCTGGCACGACTGACGTTGGTGGCTTGGTTGGGTCTGGAACATGGGGCGTTGACTTCTCTACCTGCAGATCTGCTTGACGTGTTCCTGGCAGGTCTTTAGAGATGGTAGCTGGTGACTCTACTTCCATGTCTGAGTGTGTTAAGGCTCCTGTAGATGCCCCCGCTGGTGGACCTTCAGGAACATGTACACGCTCTTTATCTCTCGGACTGGGCAAGCTGATTTTCAGATCTGCAGCTCCTGGTTTGGAAGACACATATTGCTTTTGCAAATCTGAACCTATTTCACACAAGGCTTGAGCGTGAAGCAACTCTTCTGGATCTGGATTGGATCGTAATTCCTTTCTCTCTTGCTCCGAAGTTTTTACTTTTTGTTGCTCCCCTAGTTGAGAACTTGGTGATGTTAAGTTCTCTACTGCTGCTGTTGTCATTGCTGCTGATACTGCTGCTGGTTCTGGTTTTGCTGCTGGTGCTGCTTGTGTTGCCAATGGTGTTGCTGCTGGTGCTGCTGCTGCCAAAGCTGGTCGCTCTGGATCAATGGATGCGTCTGCAGTCCGTAGCATTGTACAATCACCGAATGTTGGTGACTCCACATTTAGGCCTGAGGTGCGTAGCCGTGTTGTATCCAGTTCCGGTGCAGATGGCGACGATGGCTCTGGCGATGGTTCTGTGCCTTTTGGCTCATTTGATTGCGTTTGGTCTGCTGAGTTGTCAAAGCATGATACTGCCTGATCCAGCGCACCTTCCTGTAATGGTGTTCCTGACCTGTGCTCTGATTCTGGCACGACTGACGTTGGTGGCTTGGTTGGGTCTGGAACATGGGGCGTTGACTTCTCTACCCGCAGATCTACTTGACGTGTTCCTGGCAGGTCTTTAGAGATGGTAGCTGGTGACTCTACTTCCATGTCTGAGTGTGTTAAGGCTCCTGTAGATGCCCCCGCTGGTGGACCTTCAGGAACATGTACACGCTCTTTATCTCTCTGACTGGGCAAGCTGATTTTCAGACCTGCAGCTCCTGGTTTGGAAGACACATATTGCTCTTGCAAATCTGAACCTATTTCACACGAGGCTTTAGCGTGAAGCGACTCTTCTGGATCTGGATTGGATCGTAATACCTTTCTCTCTTGCTCCGAAGTTTGTACTTGTTGCTCCCCTAGTTGAGAACTTGGTGATGTTAAGTTCTCTACTGCTGCTGTTGTCATTGCTGCTGATACTGCTGCTGGTTCTGGTTCTGCTGCAGGTGCTGCTGCTGGTGCTGCTTGTGTTGCCAATGGTGTTGCTGCTGGTGCTGCTGCTGCCAAAGCTGGTCGCTCTGGATCAATGGATGTGTCTGCAGTCCGTAGCATTGTACAATCACCGAATGTTGGCGACTCCACATTTAGGCCTGGGGTGCGTAGCCGTGTTGTATCCAGTTCCGGTGCAGATGGCGACGATGGCTCTGGCGATGGTTCTGTGCCTTTTGGCTCATTTGATTGCGTTTGCTCTGCTGAGTTGTCAAAGCATGATACTGGCTGATCCAGTGCACCTTCCTGTAATGGTGTTCCTGACCTGTGCTCTGATTCTGGCACGACTGACGTTGGTGGCTTGGTTGGGTCTGGAACATGGGGTGTTGGCTTCTCTACCCGCAGATCTACTTGACGTGTTCCTGGCAGGTCTTTAGAGATGGTAGCTGGTGACTCTACTTCCATGTCTGAGTGTGTTAAGGCTCCTGTAGATGCCCCCGCTGGTGGACCTTCAGGAACATGTACACGCTCTTTATCTCTCGGACTGGGCAAGCTGATTTTCAGATCTGCAGCTCCTGGTTTGGAAGACACATATTGCTCTTGCAAATCTGAACCTATTTCACACGAGGCTTGAGCGTGAAGCAACTCTTCTGGATCTGGATTGGATCGTAATTCCTTTCTCTCTTGCTCCGAAGTTTGTACTTGTTGCTCCCCTAGTTGAGAACTTGGCGATGTTAAGTTTTCTACTGCTGCTGTTGTCATTGCTGCTGATACTGCTGCTGGTTCTGGTTTTGCTGCTGGTGCTGCTGCTGGTGCTGCTTGTGTTGCCAATGGTGTTGCTGCTGGTGCTGCTGCTGCCAAAGCTGGTCGCTCTGGATCAATGGATGTGTCTGCAGTCCGTAGCATTGTACAATCACCGAATGTTGGTGACTCCACATTTAGGCCTGAGGTGCGTAGCCGTGTTGTATCCAGTTCCGGTGCAGATGGCGACGATGGCTCTGGCGATGGTTCTGTGTCTTTTGGCTCATTTGATTGCGTTTGGTCTGCTGAGTTGTCAAAGCATGATACTGCCTGATCCAGTGCACCTTCCTGTAATGGTGTTCCTGACCTGTGCTCTGATTCTGGCACGACTGACGTTGGTGGCTTGGTTGGGTCTGAAACATGGGGCGTTGACTTCTCTACCCGCAGATCTACTTGACGTGTTCCTGGCAGGTCTTTAGAGATGGTAGCTGGTGACTCTACTTCCATGTCTGAGTGTGTTAAGGCTCCTGTAGATGCCCCCGCTGGTGGACCTTCAGGAACATGTACACGCTCTTTATCTCTCGGACTGGGCAAGCTGATTTTCAGATCTGCAGCTCCTGGTTTGGAAGACACATATTGCTCTTGCAAATCTGAACCTATTTCACACGAGGCTTTAGCGTGAAGCGACTCTTCTGGATCTGGATTGGATCGTAATTCCTTTCTCTCTTCCTCCGAAGTTTGTACTTGCTGCTCCCCTAGTTGAGAACTTGGTAATGTTAAGTTCTCTACTGGAGCTGAAAGTGAAGGCACTGTGTGCGCCACTGGCTCGGAATTTGATAATGGCATTTCCTGCACCACTTGCTCTGGATTTTGTTCTGGTGGCTTGTCATCTGGCTCTAGATTTGACAGCTGAGTCGTCTCATCGTTTGCTGGAATTGATGACGGTGGCTGATCCTTTGATTTTGGAGTTGTTAAATGGGGCTCCTCGAGTGCATCTAGCAGCTCTTGTTGATCCACTAGCTGTGCAGTCGGAGACTGTGAGACCTTCTTTGGTTCTGGAATCGTTAGCGGAGGATCCTGAGTAGTTCCTGGAGCTGGTAGCTGTGGCGAGTTAGCCAGATTCCGATCAAGTGCAACCAACTGCACTGCTGGTTGTAAAGCGCATGCCTTTGGATGGCTTTCGAGACCTGCAAGGGACGTGGACGATGCAGTGGAACCAAAAACAGGCGTTTCTGACTGGTTGGATTGATCTGATGAAGGTGATTGCACATGCGCTCTTCGACTCTCAACTCCAGATGTTGGCTGCTTAGTCAAATCTGCAGATACCACAGTGAAGACACATTTGTACACGATTTTGTACCCAATCCAATTTGAAACCCACATACTTTCGCAAAACGTGTGATTTTTTTGTGCAAAAACATGTGCAAACTAACAGAAAATATGATTTCCATGCATAAGTTCTAATCCAGTGGGACAGTTCTAAGCTTTGTACCGTGACAGTAGGTTTCTTGAAAGAAATGTAGGCGGCTTCACCGAGAATCGGTAAATCTATCGAACCTTCCACTTGGAAAACCTGCAAGAAACACCATTCCCTGCTCAATATACAGTGTGTCGGGGAATTCACCCCTCATTAGTTGAGCTTGAGTAGGCTTATGAAACTTGTGCTGTGGGAACACTACAATTATTTATGGTGCGCTGTCAGCCTAAATATAACTTGCGATACTAGTCTACAATGACGCTCCGTTTCCAGCGCAACAAGCACCTCACGAATTCCTCATAGCAGCATAAGTCATGGTTGTCCGTGAAGGTGAATAGTAAGCGCCGAGGACCGTCGTGCCCCCAAACAACTAGCCGTAAGCCATATTCTCGGAGTAGCACAAACTATTACAAAATATTTGTTCCGTCCTTTCCCAGACGAGGGTCAAAATTGGAGCGCTTGTGGGAGATGCCTGGTTACTCTAGCTGTAGATTCCGGCACAGTGGATGATCAATTGGGGCTGTTAACGAGAATCTGTGTTCTTATCAAGGAACATTGTACAACATACAACATAGCAACTTACTGGTATCTGAAGGGAATTGCGAGCACGAGTGAAATTGTGAATCACCTTGCTCCGCTCCACAGGGGTTGTCCTGCTCACACTGCACATCTGATGCCTGCCGCTCTCCCACTTGTGTAATGGCTCCGAAAGGCTGCTTCAGAGTTCCAGATGTGGTTTGAACACAACGAAGTCTGTCTGTACCTGGTTCCACCGTTGAAGGCGGATCACCATGGGGCTGAACAGTGTCTGCTTGTCCCGCTTCAACAGGAGGCGGGCTACTGATGTGTCCCTGACTCAGGCTACGGACTTTACGGTGTTGCGACGGAGAATTTGGAAGTTCTGAAGTATTGAAACACAAATCCAGTAGTGGACCAAAATAATCTTCCTGATTTCCATTAATGTATTTGTATTTTGTATTTATATCATTATCTCATGGCACATCATGATGACGGCCAGTAAAACTGAGACAAGGGTGAAAGCCAACGACAGCAGTAAAACAGATAAAAGAATACAAATAATGGGCATAGAAATGTTATAACACACATCACAAGCTACTGTGATCTTCATAATGCAAACATTCTCCAGGCAGGTGACAACAGTCTTACTCCTTTTTTCTAACTACCGGCTTGTCAGCGTCTTGAGTTGAAATATTGCAGTGTCGATGGAAGAAAGCGTATGGGCTCTACTTTTAACTGTTTTCTCTGTGCATTGAGACTCGAACCAGTGACCTTGCTATTCGCGAGCAATGCTCTAACCAACTGAGCTACAGTATGACTCTTATCCACAGCGTATCAAACTATGTCCACTGCGAGCAAATACAAATTGCAATTTCAAATTTGGACTTCACGGAGAATTTCAAAGTTTTTCTCGCGAATAGCAAGGTCCCTGGTTCGAGTTCCGGTGGGGTGACTGGTGATTTTTTCTTTCTTTCATGTCTGGCTTGCAAGTGTTGAGTTTCGGAGAGAAAAGAGCAGTACGTGGCATGTGGCCTCTAATTTCCTAAAAACTTTGAAATTCTCCGTGAAGTCCAAATTTGAAATTGCAATTTGTATTTGCTCGCAGTGGACATAGTTTGATGCGCTCCCCATGATATCAAGCGAATGGCCGAGGGCCCTCTTGATTGGTGTGAGTTGCCAGTAAGATGCAAGCCATATATGGATTGATCGAAGAAGGATAGATTTACAATCACTGTGGATAAGAGTCATACTGTAGCTCAGTTGGTTAGAGCATTGCTCGCGAATAGCAAGGTCCCTGGCTTGAGTCCCGGTGGTGTGACTGGTGATTTTTTCTTTCTGTCATGTATGGCTTGCAAGTGTTGAGTTTCGGAGAGAAAAGAGCAGTACGTGGCATGTGGCCTCTAATTTCCTAAAACTTTGAAATTCTCCATGAAGTCCAAATTTGAAATTACTATTCCAACGTTTCGGCAAATTGCCTTCATCAGGTTCCCAAGCAAAGAGACAACTATGTTCAATACTGAAGTATAATCCATAGCAATAATTATAATGAAGTTTTGCTGTGTTTATTTGTACATAGTCTGCACTCAGAGTGGAGCTGTGTGCAATCATCCTTTAATGATATCAAACAGACTTACGTCTTATGGAAAGACCTTGACTTCGTTTGATTTCACGTGTGCTTGATTCCTGCACATCGCTAGGTTCCTTTTCCCTCTCTCCTCGAACACAACATAAACACGACTGATCCATTGTGAACTGGCCCTGTGGCAAAGGCACCTGCAGTAGCATCGGATGATAACACTACTTCAGTGTAATGTACAGTGGCAATATTATTATTTCCGCATGCATTGCGGGTGGGGTATAGTTGACAAATCAGGACAGGAAATTCCAATTAATGTTTTATATCAGCAGATGGCTGCTCCTGATCCTGTGGCAGGGCTGCTCACACGCACTGACATTCATTCAATCAGGTTTTATGTGCAGCAGCGCATACTATGCCTGATCTGGCACTGCCTTCACAATGCCTCGAGCCGACTATTTAAACGTTTCTTTTCCATCGTTCCAATTCAGAGACTGCAGCGTGGTATTAGTAACCTGCTCCTTATTCCTCCGGCCATTACTAACGTTACTCACTCGGCCTCGTTCCTGCAGCCATTACTACTCACTCGGCCAAGCGCATAACCCATGCAGGTGTTGAGCTATGGAATGCTCTGCCTCCAGAAATTCCATGAATTGCAAACTTGCCAGTATTCAGCCCAACGCCATAAATAATATACTGTAAAACCGGAAGGTCTAATGACCAAAAAGTTTAACGTATTTGTATTTTTGGCATGATAACGTTCAGAAAGTTTAACGATGGCTAGCTGGCGACCAATCTACATGTGCATCTTTACACAGACATCTTGCGATAACGGGTTCTTCAAATAACGAAAAATAATTGGTCATTAAAACGTTAGACTTTCCGGCTTTTACAGTATCGCAAAGTTATCTATAGACCTGATCCACTGATGCTCTTGTTAATATGTTGTACTTTCTCTCCCTCCACGGCTTCTCCCCACCCTCTCTTTCACTCACTATCGTTTTACCCAAGTGGATCCAGTGTCATTAGGTATTTGCCTGTTTTAGATTTACCACTTTAAAAAAAGAATACAACTGCATTAGGGCTCGCGCTTCCTGACCGACTCACACAGGCGTCCATCTGGAGAACAGAAGAAGCGCCTTTCATTCGGCAAACCTGAAAGAAAGCACCAGCCCCTACTCAGTGCTCACAGTGCTCCAGCAGGGGTGGATCCAGGGGGGGGGGGGGGGGCAACCCCATCAATGTCCCAAATGTACTAGTATTACTGGAAACCATTATAATTATGCATGTACATGTAGAAGTACATGTATCGCTTTTTAATTTTGGCTTAAGACCCCCTCTGTAGAGATCTCTGGATCCGTCACTGTAAATCAGGGAAGCTAACCCTCATCATTCTACTGAGCTCTGAGCAGGCCAATGAAAATTTAATGTATACTAGAGCAGCACTGCACTTAATAGCGCTCCCGCAGCTCCAGCATACTAAAATTATGTGAGTCAGTGTCGTACGTGGAGTTGCGAGAACAGATACTCTGGGCCATTGGAGATTTGCAGAGATGTGTCATCAAACTACATGTACTACTGCCGCCTCTCCCACCCCGACCGGCCATGTAACTAGATGGTTAATGCGAATGGTCAATGGCTATCTGCGTCTTTTCTCACAACTCCATGTGCAACACTAACTCATATTGCCGCCTTTGTGCTCACGAGGTGTTTGCTACGCTGGAAGTGTATCAGAGCCGTACGCTGTACCCCTCGTGATGTTTGGGCCGTTGGAACACCATACACTGTTATGTGTTATAGTGCTCCTGCAGCACAAACTTCAAGATCCTATCTGATTGGGTGGGGGGGGGAGTTATAAGGGGTTTACCCCCCCCCCCAAATAATGGTCATAGATCAGGGAGTAACAGTGTGCTTTTTTGAAGATCTATCCAGTGTAAGGTCCCTGCTTGTCCTGTGCTGCGAGCATGCTGCTGCACTGCATACTCTGGTGGACGCATTGCTCGGAGAGAGAAGGAGAGAGTTGGAGATCGTCCGCGATCGGGGCCCATGAGTTGGGAGACGGATTCCCTCACCAACTATCCACTCATAACGATGCAGTGTCGTTTGCGAGATCTCCAGAACGTACAGTTCATTGGCAAAGAAGAACAATATGAAAACTGAATACCAAACGGCAACCAAACAACACCAGAGCTCGTGCAGAAGTAGCACATCAAACTCCAAAGCCATCACCATGCAGGTTCCGCCAAAGCGGATCCGCGAAAGAGGTGGTTTCGCTCGCATTTTTTTTCGGTGGCGAAATCCAAACTTTCCGCCAAAAAAAGTGCATGTGTGACCGCGGCCTAAATCAGGGAAGGTAACCCTCATCATTCTGCTGAGCTGTGAGTAGGCCAATGAAATGTGTGCTACAGCAGCAAAGGCTGGTCGCTAGTTACAGTTATGAGTATTCTAGTCAAAGCGGTCTTTAGTAACCATAGTAACAGCGGTCTTAAGTAACAGGGTTTACTGTACTACTGCCGCCTCTCCCACCCCACCCCACCCCACCCCACCCCACCCCACCCCCCCACCACTTACTGCGGGACTGCGATCTTGTCTGCTGATGAAGACTCTCACTCTTCGCAGTAGGACACGCGTGATCGCGTGTTCTCCACTTGTGACTCTGGCTATGTCGTAGATCTACTGGACGCGAAGCAGGATACGGGACTTCCGGAGGTAGAGCTCTGGTGGCTGCAACGGTATTGTCAGTTGAGCTTGTGTTGAGCCCAGCAAGATCCTTGACGTCTGCAACGCGCCGCTGCTGCGGAGGGTCCGGTGCGAGAAACTCGAGTGGTCCCTGGTCGCTAGCTTGACATTCGATCTCTCTTAGCTAGCTGTTGCAGGTCGGACTAGTCGGAGCCGTGGGAGGAATTCCGCCCTCTGCCTCGTGATCCTCCTGGCTTCGCGGAACTGGCCGTTGCGGGAAGAACACAAGCTGATTGTCTTCAAGAGATCCACCCGCACTACAAGATTGTAGCACAATGGCATGTCTTCATATTGAAATGCAAAATCCAATCGCGAAGGCCAGTTAGTTGACCCTTGCAGCTCTGCTCCACAACTGAAAATGGCTCGAAGCAACATGGGGATGTGGTTCAACTACTTCGTCGATGCCCAGCCGCTAAACACGCTAGTCTACATAAACCCGCTACGCATGGTATGAAGTAACAAGCTTAGGGTTTGGCGGGCTGAGCTCATGAGACAAGCAAAGTAGTTCCATACACTGATACAGCCGCGCGGCCCAGATCCTACTTGCCCTTGCAGCCTGCGTCTCCACTCCGCCGCCTTTTTCCACGAGTAGGCATCCGGCCCGGTATGTCCACATGCGGTCAGTGGCTTTGTGTCGAAAGTCGCCCGCTCAGCAGCGCACGCACAGCGGTGTTCAGGGTCGGCAATGATTGAAAATAAGCAGCCAGTTTGTTCGTAGATCTAGTAGCTCTAGAATGTGATAACATGTATCTGTCCAGGTCAGTATTGCATAGCTGTGTCGAATGGACCAAACCCGCAATGACGGTAGATCTACAAAGTAAATACTGTAGTTAGTTCGTTCGGGCAGATCTACACGTTGAATCATGGAACTGGTGGCGTGAGAGAGAAAGCAGGAAAATATTCCATTGACATGTCAGTCAACGGCGGAGTCGTCAACGCAGTGGTCGTACATTGTATATTGCGTATGAGGTGTTTTCGTGTACATGTAGATCCCTTCGCCTCATGACTCATGAGCCACGTAGCGGCCACGGCCTGCAGCCACCAGGCTCCGAAACACATTGACAGCTCCACTCCGCTTTGACGCGCACACTTGCAGTCATCATTTTGACTGGGTCTGTGAATGTCATGCAGAGCTAGCACAGACCCATGCGAGGCCAGGACAAGCAAGGAGGGCATGCATGACCTGGGCTAGAGCTGCGCTCGTAAGATGCAAACGTGCAAACGACATTTATATCTGCGTGTCTGCCAACACGTCTTGCGGTTTTCCTGTTAGAAAAATGCCTCGACCGCGACGCGCGACAGGTAATGATAGTAGTAGTTAATTACAGTGTCAAAGTACAATGTAGATTTACATTATGCTACCTTTCGAAGTATACTACAAACAGAAGCACGATAATTAACATGTCCTGATATCGTGCTTCTGTCCCCAATACTAATACCAGTTATCCATGTGCTCATTCAGGAATAATGCATGCGGAAAGGCGGTTGAAGCATCATTATTGTATTCGATAATTGTTTAATATCAATGGTCAAACGTGTGAGACAACCACATCCCGGAAAGCTTTCACTGGTATAGTAGATCTACTGGTCAACTGACGTGCAATATTCTACCTGATCATGTCACGATATCATGCTTCTGTTTGTAGTATACTAATACCAGTTATCCATGTGCTCATTCAGGAATAATGCATGCGGAAAGGCGGTTGAAGCATCATTATTGTATTCGATAATAAATTATTGTTTAATATCAATGGTCAAACGTGTGAGACAACCACATCCCGGAAAGCTTTCACTGGTATAGTAGATTTACTGGTCTACTGACGTGCAATATTCTACCTGGCCCTGGGATCGCGGCGGAGGTCTACGTGTCGTACATGTCGAAAGTTTGCTGCGCGCCAAGCCTGTACCATGTGTAGACTATTGGGTATTATGGTGATATGATAGCCTCTGCTAGGTAGGCCTTGACAGATTATGCTAATATTTTCGGGAAATTATGCTTTTCGCATTGCTGAAAAAATTGCAGAATTATGCTATTTTTATGCTAAAACTTATCATATCATGCCAAACCGTCCGATTTTTCGGACAGTGTCCGATTTTTGAAGGCTCTTCCGAAAACCGGTCCGAAAAGGGAAACGTCCGAAAAGCAGCCAAAATGTCGGAGATCAGTACTTTCCTATGCAGAAGTCTTGTACTGTCACTTTTCAGCGCAACTGAAGGCACAAATCACCATGATCACTGTACATTTGCTTCTAAAAAGGCTAGCGCTTGGCTGTGGAAGTGCAAAGCAACATGTCTGGATCAGGCTGCATGGCATGTACGCTGACAGTCCGTACAGAGACAGAGTCAGTGTGCGACCACACTCATCATTACAAAATTCATGACAACGCCGGGGTTAGGCGATATTTTGAACTCTCTGTAAAAAATTTGCGAGGACAAAAAATTGGCACCATGTGGCCAGCCTTGGCGGTGAAGGGTGTCCGATTTTGGGCGAAAATTATTTGGCAGCACTAGCTACGACCGTCACTGATTGTAGTGGATGGGACATGTTTTCAAGGGAGTCGTAAACCTACGACTTCCTCGTGCATCTACTTGTACTTGTACTTGTAGAACATGTACAACTGTATAGAATTTGATGCGAACGGGCGGATTATTCCAATTTATGCGATTCGTATGCAATTTGCCTCGAATTATGCGATTATTCAATTTTGGTAGGAATTATGCGAAAAGTTATGCTAGCATAATCTGTCAAGGCCTACTGCTAGGCACAGTGAGATGGCGTTTACGTATACAATAAATGAGGAGGCCGAGGGTTTATGACCAATAAAAACTATTATAAAAACCGAGGTCCCCCGAGGTTTTTATTGGTTATAAACCCAAGGCCGGAGCATTTATTGTATTTAGAATCAACCAGTAAAAACTCCTACTCAATCTTCAACAACAAAATGTATCGCACGCTCAGTCCATTTGGTCTTCACCAACTCGTCAACACATGTACATACACGTCACCCTCTGGTGTCCAAGCCTCCTTGGATTTGGTGTTTAGTAACCGTGCCAATCTCTCGTCTTGCGTCGAAACTGACTGCCCTCTGGGCGCCTCAGACCATGCCATTGTGTACTGCCAGTTCGACATCCCCCTGCCTCAGTCTCCCCGCGAAACAACGTCTCAAGCTCAGGAGCCTAACCCTATGTCTTTCGATCTCCGACACGTCACACCTGCTGTGTGGGAGGCGGTCAATGCAGACTTAGACTCAGTACCTTGGAACTCATTAATATCCTCAGACGTGGACAATGCACTTAGTAATCTGCACAGTGTCTTGCAGACTGTGCTGTCCAAGTATGTTCCCCTTCATAGCTCCTGCAAACCAAATCGAACTCCCTCAACCCCAGGGTCTACGCGCAAATATCATCCATGGGTTTCCACTGAACTACGCAAGGCTATCAAGTTGAAGTGTGACCTATTCAGCCTCTCCAAGAAATTCCCTACGGACTACAACCTATCAGCATATAAGGCACAGCGGAACCAGGTGAGACATCTCTCCCGCTGGTGCCACCGCCAGTACATTCGTTCAATCAAAACAACACTTACCTCAGGCAGCACCACGCTTCACCAGTTTGTCCGCAGTCAGCGATCGCACAAAGTAAAACCTGGCATCCCTGACATTGCAAGCCCTGATGGGCTGCTGGTGTCTGACAGCTTCCAAAAAGCAACCATCCTCAACAAGCAGTTTACCTCTGTCGCAGTGCCTGATGACCCACGTTTAGTAATACCCCCTCTCCAATATGACACTCGTCTTACTCGCCAATTCACCCGGGTTTATATCACTACAGCAGATGTTCGTAAAGCCATCTCAAACCTGAAATCTGGGAAAGCGCCAGGGCTAGACGGTATCACGAACAATATGATAAAGAAGCTAGCTCCTGCGATTTCTTTTCCACTTAGCCGCCTATTTAACCTCTCCTTTACCACAGGCAAGTTCCCTACTGACTGGAAACTGGCTAAAATTGTGCCTATTTACAAGTGCAAAGGCAGCAAATCTCAAGCTAGTAACTATCGCCCAATTTCCCTCCTGTCCTGTATTTCCAAACTTTGCGAACGGCTCTTCTTCAATCAATTATATAATCATATTTCTCCTGCTCTGGATCCCGCGCAATCTGGGTTTCGTCGTGGTGACTCGACCGCTCTACAGCTCACCAAGCTGATCCAAAACATTGCCGACCATCGTCATATGGGGCGGAAAGTTGCCATGTGCTTTTTCGACCTCGAGAAAGCTTTCGACACCGTGTGGCACCGTGCATTACTTGCTAAACTCTCCAAAGTTGTCGGTGTGTGTGACTCAGCGCTGGAGTGGATTACAGACTACCTATCAGACAGAACGCAAGTTGTCTTTGTAGGTGGACTTCTCTCAGATGCTTCACCTGTTCTGTCCGGAGTGCCCCAGGGATCAATCCTAGGGCCCCTCCTTTTCCTAGTGTATATAAATGATCTTCCCAGTCATGTTGAAGGTGTGTCCTTATTTGCTGACGATACTGCACTGCTCCGGTTCAATGAGTGTCTAGACAGGCTGCGAGACAGTCTCCAGCGCGGTATCAACGAAGTCCATCAGTGGATGACTACCTGGAGACTAAGACCTAATATCGCCAGGACTGAGATATTATTCCTGCCGAACTCAGAGCCAACCTATGCATTCACTCTTCCCGGATCCCTCACAGACCTCACAGTGGTAAAACAACACAAACATCTTGGTTTGGTCATTGACTCAGATTTATCGTTTAGTAGACATGTCGATTATATCTGTAGCAAAGTCAGTAAAGCTGTTGGCTACCTCGTGTCTCACTGCTCCCACCTACCGCTTGAATGCATTCGCCTTTTTTTATCATTGCTATATTCTCCCCATTTTTCTCTATTGCTCAACCGCCTGGTCATCCCTACTAAGTAAATCGTTAATGAGTACCCTGGAAGTGCACAATAAGA